ATAGCATTGCAGGTAGGCCACACCCCTGGGGAAACTCCCCTTGGGCAGACCGGCCGCTTAGAACTCAGTCATGTGATCCATCATGGGAACCACCACTCACAACTGGAGTCCAGCCAAGTTGACACATCTTCAACTATCACAGGTACATTGCCCTTCTCTTCACTCAAATCAATACTTATCTCTACCTATCTAACAGTGTTCCCTACCCTACTCTCCCACCCCTGGTAACCAACAAAGAAAACTTCCTTCCATATATAAACCTTTCCTTGACTTTCACAATAACGGACTAATACAATATTTGTCTTTCTGTGATTGACTTATTTCCCTCAGCATAATGTCCTCCAAGTTCATCCAGGTCATGTGGTTTTTTGCAGATTCTACATTATTCTTTAGGGTTGCATAGTATTCCATTGTGACACATACTTTTTAGGGACACAATTCAATCTATGATAGTGTTCATTTTATAACAAATAAGGTTTTTAATGCATTTTCCTGTGTGTGTATTTATTTATTTATTTATACAATAAATAAGTGAAAATCAATAATACAGAAGTTGTAATACTGTTGTTAGGGATAAATATGTAAAATATGTAAAGCTTTAGTACATGGTAGGAACTCACCATAAATGTGTTTCCTCATCCTTTGCATGGTATTAAGCTACTAACTCTATGAGACAAGTGACAGTATCTGTTTTGTTCAGCAGCCAATAACAATTTGTTGAATTAATTTTGTTTCTCTTTTTTGTGTAGCCCAGTTCAGTGGGCTATCAGTAAAATGTATTCATCACTCTTTTCTCATTATTTAAATTAGGCCATCATGGGTCCTTGGCCTAGATTTCAGATGTAGTGAATGCAAGCAGGGGCTGGGAGTTACCAGAGTAGTGGGGAGGACAACGACTCAGACTCAAGTTTTCATCTAACTGTACTTACATCAAAAGTCACCATTTGTGATGAAAAATTTAGCAATGATTATTGGTGATGATTGCACATAGTGATTAAGGTAATTTATATCACTAAATTATACATATGAAAATAGCTGACTTGGCAAAAGTTATGTTACATATGTTTGTACAACAATAATTTTTTTAAAAAAATTATCATTTGTCTTTGGCCTGCACAGGAATCCACCTCCTGATCATTGGGCTTTAGTGAGCGGGCTCCCTACCTATGTTGCCCAAAATGGCCTGGTAAGTAACACAATGTTGAAGAGGGAGAGTTTTTAATCAGGTGGAAGAGTGAAAGGATTTCCATCAAGAGCATAGAAGAAATAGTGGGAAATATGAGTTTCCAAAAGCCTAGCTCACTTGTTTCCCAAGCTTGTCATAGAATTCAAATGACATTTGACCTATGGATATGAGGAGAGAATTGACCCTTGAGGAAATATGAAATACAGAGAGACACAATCCTCAGATGAAAAGGTATACGTTTTACTGACAACTAAAGATATTTTCACATGTGTGCCAGGGAAAAAGTAATGCCTGCTAGTCTACCAAAGACTAAGTCCCAGTCTCTCACACAGAAACTTAATTATTACTCCCAACCTCCCATCCCCATGGCATTTCCAGCCATGCCATATATCAACCAATTGCCACCTAGTCAACTCCAATTCATGGCAGCCCCATGTGTCTTCAGAGTAGAACTGTGCTCCACAGGGTTTTCAGTGGTTGGTTATTTTGGAAGTAGATCACCAGGACTTTCTTTCAAGGTGCCTCTGAATGGACTCAAACCACCAACTTTTTGGTTAGAAACTGAGTGTGCTAACCTTTTGCACCACCCAGGGATTCTATTTGTCATATACAAAGGAGCTCAAATACCTCACCCATTCAAGGCAAGGGGGAAGTGAGAGTATCCTCTGCCCCAGGGGTAAAGGTGATGTCTATTAGCTGCACATTTCCACACATATATCCCACTTCCCATTCCAGACAATACTTGATGTCCTTGAGGGCGGGATCTGAGTCTGTTCATCTCTGTATCCTTCTTCAGGTACACACTACACAATGCTGTTGATATAGCAGAAAGTTTATTTATTAATCTTTTTCTATGTGTCAGGCACTGTAGTTGGCTCTGGGGATACAAAGATGACCCCTATAGTTCCTGATCTTAAGAAGTTTACAGTCAAATGGGAAAACCTCCTTATTAACAGATACTTACCATACAGTGTGATAAAGCCATGATAGAGATGTACATGGCATATTCTGGGAATACAGAGGAGGAGGCATCTAAACCAGCCTGGGGCATTGGAAAAGGCTTTCTAGGGTGCATTGGTCTGAGTAAGGTTTTAAAATATAAATACATCTTAGCAGGTGGAGGCAGGAAATGGGATTCTAGGTAGAAGAAACAACATGGGTAAAAACGTGGAGGTTTGAAGCAGCATGGTATCTGCAGTTCAGAGTTGCTAGAGTAACAGGTTTTAAGTAGGAAGATAGTAAGAAACAAGGCTTAAGAGGTAGAGAAAGGCCAGATCATTGTAGGCATTAGATGCCAGGTTCAAGGAATTGGGACTTTAATTTATAGGTGATGGGCTTTCAAGCAGGAGATTGGTGTGGTCATATTCAAAGCTATTCATGTAGCAGAGTGTTTATTTATTGTGCATTTCTATGTATCAGTTTTGTAATTGGCTCTGGGGATACAAAGATGACTCAGTTTCATTTTAGAATATAATTGTTACAGCTCCCTAGAAAATAAATCTGAAGGGGCTAAAATTGCAGGCAGAGCAACCAGTGAGGATACTAGAGCATAGTTCTAAATAAAAAATGATAAGAATCTCAACAAAGTCAAGGCAACAAAAAATACTATCATTATTGCCCTTGAGTACTTACGTAGGTGGGCAGCCTCTGGTGCAGTGAGTGGGCAGGCACTGAGTAGATTTACTCATTTAATGCTCATGACAACTTCAACAAGTATGTATAGAGAGGAAAATCAAGGGCCAGCTTTGAGAAATACTGAAAAGGTGGAACTGGCAGGATTTTGTAATTGATTGTAAGCAGAGATGAAGGGAGAGAAAAGAGTCTAATCTAATTTCAACTTCTAGACTGGAGGGATAGTGCTGCCACCAGGTTTGGATATAAGATGATGAAGTCAGTTTCAGACAAAGTAAAGTTGAGACAGTTTTAGGGAGGAAATATCCAGCAGGAAGATGAACAGATGATGCTGTGGGGAAGGAAAGGTTTGGAGATGGAGATTTGGAAGATATTAGGACCAATGGTAATTGAAACCATGACTGTACATGAAGTTATCCAGGGAGATTGAGAAGGGACAGAATACATACTTGAAAATGCTAACATTTAAAGATTGGCTGGAGAAAGTGGAGTATGTGAGGGAGATACAGAAGGAGTGTTGGAGATAAGTGGAGAATCAGAAGGCAGTGTCATGGAAACCAAACACAAAAGCCAAACACACTGCCATCAAGTCGACCTGACTCATAGCAACCCCTTCTTAGGTTTCCGAGGCAGAATCACTATGGAAGTAGATTGCCCAACCCTCCTTCTGAGCAGTGGCTGGTGGGTTTGAACTGCCAGCCTTCTCGTTAGCTGTCAAATGCCTTAAGCACTACTCCACCAGAGTTGGAAATAAAGTTTTGACCAGAAGGGAGAGGACTAATGCAGCAAAGTGATTGGTGAGATACTAACTGAAAACCCCCACTGGGTTTGGCAATTAGGAGGCCATTGGTGACCCTCATATGAGCAAATTTGGGGGTGAGATGAAGGCAAAAACCAGTGTGTGGTCTACTGAATAGTAGATGGGTAATGAGAAGGTAGATAGCATAAGAGAAAAAAGAAAGAGAAAGCCAGGGTGGTTGCTGCAGGGACCACATGGAAATAAGAGAAGATCTCCTTTTTAAGGATGGGAGAGACTCCAGCCTTGGGCTGAGGAGAATGAGTCCTCAGAGAGGTAAGAGGGGATATCTGAGGTGCAAGGAGAGAACAATGGGAATTTATGAAGCCCGGTAGTGTTGTGCCTAAGGCATTTGACTGCTAGCCAGAAAGCTGGAGGTTCAAGTCCAACAGCCACTCTTCGGAAGGAAGGTTGAACAGTCTACTTCCATAGTGGTACTGTCTCAGAAACCCAAGGAGGAGTTGCTATGAGTCAGATCCAACTCAAGGGCAGTGAGTTTGGATTCTGGTTTGGTCCAAGGAGAGGACAGTGAGATTGTGCAGTGGGTGGGTAGTCCTCAAACAGGAGGGGGGACAGCTCACCCTCCAAGAGCACAGGACAGCCAGAGACTGTGTTGACAGGAAGGATCGCTGCCAGAACAAATGATGTCTCTGTGATAATTAGAGAAATGTGCCCCTTGTGGATGGACGAATAGAGAAAGATCAGGGGCATGGCACCACAACAGAGCACAGGCTGGATTTCAGCAACCATTTGCCCTCTCAGCTGGATGCATTTGTGTAGTGCACACACCACACAACTGTATACAATGCTCTGTTGCCAGGGCTGTGGAAGAATCAGATATATGTCTCTTGTGATAGGGTAAACTGGTCCAATGACAGAAAGGAATCTGACAATATATAAACCAGAGCTACAACACCTTTCATTTCTTATTCTTTGGGGTTTATATGCTAAAGAAATAATCCTTTCCTGCTAAAACAAACAAGCAAAACCCAAATGTAATTGATTCAAAATGCCTAGAGTAGCATTATCTATGTTAATAAAAATAATTGAACACAACCCAAGTACTTAATAAAATGGGATACTATACAGCTATTAATAATGATAAATATTAATAAAGATAACCTTAACTTTTTCAAAAGCTGGAAATGACTCGCAAGTGAAGCAAATGGTAAGAAGTAATGTTTATAATGTGTTTTTCTGTCCAGTAGCCTCAGTTAATAATTCAAAACCATCTCCAGTATGTCTATCTGATGGAAAAAATGTGATTGCCTCAGGCAAGGACATTGTGTTTCAGAAAATAGTATGCATTGCTTCACTGGGTACTCTATCAGGTCTAATCACAACTCCATTATTCTTCTTCACGGCTTTCAGATTTGCAATATCATGAATGCACCTTCTGAGGACTTCTTTGCATTCCAGGTAAGTCATCTATTTGCTCTCTTAGTTGTATGATTCCCGCCCCCCCCCCACACACACACAGTTGCACACACACAAAATAACCATTAGAATACACTAGAATCCACACGAGTGGAGAAAAGTCACATGCCAGTCAAAGTGAGGCATGAGTCTCCAAGGTCCCATTCCATTTTAGGAAATCCCTGGTTGGTACAAATGGTTAAAAAGCATTGCTAAGTCAAAGGTTGGAAGTTCGAGTTCACCCAGAGGCCCTTGGAAGAGAGGTCTGGCAATCAATCTGCTTCCAAAAACTCATCCATTGAAAACCTTACTCTGAGATCCTGGATAGAGTGGGAGAACAATGTGGAACAAAACACATAATCATTAAAAAAAAAAAAAAAAAACAAGGTTCACTAGTCCGATAGATCTTGGTGAGACTCCTGAGAGACTATGGCCCCTAGTTACCCTTTAGGTATGGAACTGAACTCACTCCTGTATCTTCCAGTCAAAAATTAGACAGGCATATGGGGTGAACATTTACATCAAGTAGATATCCTTAGAATGATCAATCAATTATGGGAGAATAGAATGCAGTATTTGCACAGGGACATAGCTCAGGGGGAAGGAATGCATAGGAAAGGACCACACAGGGAATAGGTAACTCTAGGGAGGAAGTGGGAAGAGAGCTGTTATATTGTGGGAAATTGCAGTCAATGTCATGAGATAAAATGTGTATGAACTGCTGTATGGAAAATGAAGGTGCTCTGTAAATTTTCACCAAAATCACAATAAAAATTCAAAAGAATCTGACATACGTGGGGTCACCATGAGTTGGAGTTGACTTGATGGCAACTGGTTATTCAGTTTCAACATTCCACATTCTTTCCTTCTTGGCTTTAAACTCTTTGCTTCTGTGGTTCCTTCCTCAACCATTATCTCCTGCCTTTATCTTCTCAGCCCTTTAATGACAACCTCAAATTCTACCACTTCAATGAATTTTTTTCTGATTCCCCTGGCTGAATATTTCTGTCTCTTTGGAATTTCATGGAACGTTGGTTAGTATTCCATTGACTTTGCTTGGCTGGTTTTTACAAATGTTGGTGGAAGACTTTCTCTGTGCCAGGCACTGTGCTAGATCCTGAGGGTACCATGGTGGATCAGAGTTCATGATCTTGTGATCTTGGGAAAGAGGCCCACAGAGTATTTGTCAAGAGAAAGGCAGAGTGATATAGGAGGGGCTCTCTCAGGGATGCCTGACCTAATCTGGGAGGAACTAAAAGTATCTCTGAGGAAATTATGTTTGAGCAGTAAGAGAGGGAGAAGACTGCAGGAAAGAGATGGCTTATTGGCAGGGGCTACAATGAGCCAACTCAACTGAGTGGGAGACTGGGCTGAGCATGGCAGAAGATTCTAGAGAGATAGATAGAAGCCAATCATGTAAGGCCTGGAAGGCTATGCAAAGGAGTTTGTCTCTCTTATTCTAGTTTTCCTTACCTGTGATAGTTAAAGTTGTATGTCAACTTGGCTAGATCTGGTTGAGTGGCTGGGCAGCTGGTGGTAGTTATTGCCCAAGATGAGACTGTCAGTCAGCTCCATGGTGGAACCTACCACAAGCAGATGAGTAGCTGCTTTAGGGATGTGGTCTGCTTCCCGTATATAAGAAGCAGCTTTGAGAATGGTCTCTAGCTTAAGGCACGCTTGAACCCAGCATGTAGCCTAGTTGTTGTTCAGTAACCTGTCATGCTCTGCCGATCTTGGAACTTTTAATGGACTTGAATTAATGGCCTGCCATGTGTTTGGTAACATTAGGACTGTGCCTTTTTACTTGTCAACCTTGGGCTTGTCAGTCCAGCAGCCAGCAGCTGTCTGAGTGAAGAAAAACTTCTGGCTTCAGTGGGCTGGGAGCAGGAGGCAGAGCTGAAGCCCAAGGTTGAGGGGCTTTCACCCATCTCCTAGAGCCTGGTACTTTGAACTCAGACGTAAAGTCTCCAAACTGTAAGAGAATAAACTCCTGTTTGTTAAAGCCATCCCATTTATGGTATATTCTTGTCAGAGCAGAATTAGGTAACCAGCACATTACTTTATCTTTTCTTATCCTTAGCTGTATTTTAGACTAACTTCTTTAGCTTCCTTTGGCCAAGAACTGGGTCTTATCATTCTCAATATCATCAGCTTTCAGTGCCCTTTCAATATTTGTTGAGCTTAGCATGCCTGGTGTAAGAAAAATAGGTCATTAACAATCAGGAAATAATTCAGAAGAAAATAAAAATGACTCTTAGGAAAACTGATAGTTTTGATTACCTAATGTGGCTCTGACAGGAATATACCACACATGGGATGGCTTTAACAAACAGGAGTTTATTCTGTTATACTTCGGAGGCTTTAAGTCCAAGTTCAAAGGTGCTAATGGCTGGGTGAAAGCCCCTCAACTTTGGGCTTCAGCTCTGCCTCCTGCTCCTAGCCCACTGAAGCTGGAGGCTTTTCTTCACTCAGACAGCTGCTGAGGCCAACAAACCCATGGTTGACAAGTAAAAAGGCACAGTCCCAGTGTTAACAAACAACACGGCAGGCCATTGATTCAAGTCCATTGAAAGTCCCAAGATCAGCAGAGCATAGCAGGCTGCTGAACCACTACACAGCTACTACATGCAGGGATCAAGTGTGCCATAAGCTAGAGATCATTACCAAAGCAGACCATATCCCTAAAGCAGCTACTCAGCTGCTCGTGGCAGATTCCACCATGGAGCTGATTGCCAGTCTCATCATGTGGAATAACTACCACCAGCTGCCCAGCCACTCAACCAGGCCCAGCCAAGTTGATAACCACAATTCCACTCCTTGTCAACTTGGCACCTATACAGATCTTCATTGGGTGGCATCTGTACAGATCTCCTACACTGGGTGGCTCCAGTCCCCTAGTTCCACTGAGGGGCGACCTCACCCCCTTGGCCTGGCAGGCCCCATTTCTCTACCTAATAGGCATGGCAGCCCTGCTCCCTCACTCTTGGGGCAGCGGCTATAACTCCATCCCACTGGCCCACACGAATGAGCAGCCCCACACTCCAGAACCAAATTGGTGAAGGTCTGATTCTTTGAAACCTGGGAGGCTGTGGTGGTTCCACCCCTAAAGGCCATGGTCAATACCCTTAAGGCTGAGGCAGCTCTGCTTCCAGTTTCCTTGGTCACTCTGCTTCTGCTGATTAATGTCCAAGGGCATCCACTCTGTCAGGAATCTTCCTGCCCAAAGGACACAGCTTTCTGGCTCCGTGGGCTGGCCAACCTGCTACATCATCTCATGCCAGTCTCTTCTACCAATCACTGCCTGGAGGCAACCCATTCCACCAGGAAGCTGTCTACCCAATGGCATCCAGCTTTCTCCTCTGTTGGCTGGTAAGGCTGTCACAGTCTCATGCTGGTCCCTTGGCTCTGCTACTGCCATCTCTCATGTCGCATGTCAAGGTCTCTCTGCCAGAGTCTTGAGTCAAGGACACACTCCACTCCTGTTTCAATATTTTAGGTATCTGTCAGAGCAGCACCCCACTCTCTCACTGCCATATTCTGTTTTGGTTACCTAGTGCCTAGTGCTGCTATCCACTTTAGAGTGGTGCCTGCATATCACATAGAACCATCTGTAAACCAGGCATGAGTTTTCTCTTCCTCAGTCAACTGATCATAAGGAACTCCCCATGTGCAGACTGAGGCCACTGGGAGAGGGAAGGTAATGTGGCTGGAGTGGACACCATAGGCATTTGGGCCACTTCCTCATGCAACTCACTTGTGCTTCAGTTCCTGCTCAAGACCAATATCTGATATACCACTTCCATTAAATGATGGAGTGCTGCTGTGCACATCCAACTTTATGACTCTTCGGTCAGACAACACCTAGTTCATGATGGGTAGCTCAGGCCTCATGGTGACTTGTTGGTCCCTGGTTAGGCATTCAGTCTCTACTAAAGCGCAATAACGAGCCAAAAGCTATTTCTCAAAAGGAGAGTAGTTATCTGCAGAGGATGGCAGGGCTTTCTCCAAAATTCCAAGGGTCTCCATTGCGATTCACCAATAGGGACCTGCCAAAGACTCCAAACTGCATCTCTATCTGCTACAGACATTTCAAGCACCATTGGATCAGCTGGATCAAATGGCCCAAGTGGCAGAGCAGCTTGCACAGCAGCCTGAACCTGATGCAGAGCCTTCTGTTGTTCTGGGTCCCACTCAAAACTAGCAGCTCTCTGAGTCACTTGATAAATAGGCGTAGTAACACACCCAAATGAGGGATATGTTGTCTCCAAAATCCAAAGAGGCCCACCAGACATTGTGCCTCCTTTTTAGTTGTGGGAGAAGCCAGATACAATAACTTATCCTTTACTTTAGTAGGTATATCTCTACATGCCCCACACCACTGGACCCCTAGAAATTTCACTGAAGTGGAAGGTGCCTGAATTTTTGTAAGGTTAATTTCCAATCCTCTAGCATGCAGATGTCTCACTGATAAGTCTAGAGTCATCGATACTTCTTCCTTACAAGGTCCAATCAGCATAATGTCATCAATATAATGGACCAGTGTGATGTCTTGTGGAAGGGAAAGGTGATCAAGGTCCCTACAGACTAAATTATGACAGAGTGTTGAGGAGCTGATATATCCCTGGGGAAGCACTATGAAAGTATTTGTTGGCCTTGCCTGAAGGCAAACTGCTTCTGATGGTCCTTTGAAACTGGTATTGAGAAAGAGGCATTGGCCAAATCAATAACTGCATACCAAGTACCAGGAGATGTACTAATTTGCTCAAGCAATGAAACTACATCAAGAAGAGCAGCTGCAATTGGAGTCACCACCTGATTAAGTTTACAATAATCTACTGTCATTCTCCAAAATCCATTTGGTTTTTGCACAGGCCAGCTAGGTGAATTAAATGGGGATGTGGTGGGAATCACCACCCCTGCATCCTTCAAGTCCTTGATGGTGGCAGTAATCTCTGCAACCCCTCCAGGGATCCAGTACTGCTTTTGGTTTATTATTTTTCTAG